CAGTGACATCTGGAGGATGGAGTCAGGGCGGTGTTTCTCTGACCCATCCATCAGAACCCTCCGCCCTCTGAACACCACCCACCGACTGGAAACACCCTGGAATCTGAGCCAATCACAGCACGACTGACCGTGTTTTGTTCACACGGTGCTCGAGCAGAAGTGTCCGCCCCCCCGACCCACTCATCACGCTCTGCTGTGAGTAATGACTTGACATGATCTGCGCTCCACCTCCATCCATCAACCTCCACCCGCTCTGCTCTGACTGGAACACGTGCCGCCGCTCAGTCTGACAGAAATGTGACGGAGCAGCAGAACCGAGTCATCATTAACACAGCACATAATTAGCAGTTAGCATCCGCCGCTAACACACACATACTACAGCTCTCTGCAGGCACCGAGGGATTACTACACACATGCTCTACAGACCCAGACCACCTGTGGACCACTGTTGGCTCACATGAAATATTGTGGTACTTTGGCAAAGGTCAAAGGTCATTAACACAACAGCTGAGGAAAAACTGCAGCTCCTACCTGAGTGTGTGTGTGTGTGTGAAGGCTCCTCAGGCGGTCCTTTGATTGAAGTCCATGACAGTACCTGTGGGGACCAATGAGAGAGAAGCGTTAGTTCCTGGTACTGAGTCCTTCTACTGCTCTGTACGCAGTACAAGTACGTGTTCATGTGGTTCCACCTTTAGTGAAACAACAACAGAACATGATGTGAAGACGAAGAGAACTGTGAGTGTGTTTTTAATCAGTGACGGTGTTTGTTCTCATCACATCCAGCTGTTCTGACCTTTACTGACTCACAGTCAACATTTACAGACAACGTTCCATTAACGCTGTCTGTGGGTTTGAACAACGGTTCTACACAGTTCTTCAGCTAATGACTGCATAAATATCAGAGTCAGACAAAAACATTGATGGAGAAAGTTGACGTAGAACATTAATGTTACACACAAACAGGTGTAGCAGGTGTAGAAACACACACACACAGACAAGTGTAGAAACACACACACACACACTGGCTGTTGCTCCTCAGCCGACGGTTGACAACAACAGTCCATCTCCAGCAGCTGAAGACCTGAAGAGACAAACAGGAAGCAGAGGTCTGGGTAAAGGCGTGGCCTCATGATCAGAGCCAGGAAGTGATGTCACAGAGGTGAAGAACTTCAGAGTAAACGTTACATCATCATCACGTCTGTGTTAGAACACAAAGATCTGACGGGAGAACTCACTTCAGTCAGGATGAAACATTCAAACGATTGATGGAATTTCCTCCCAGATCCAAACGTCTCAATCTTGCTCAGTGGCTCCCCCCGGTGGTGTTTCACATCCATCCAATCCTGTGAACTGGGTCAGAATTTTTTCACCAGGATTTTAAGACAGACGTTCAGACTGCTTAATGACTCTCCACTGGGTGGCACTAATGAACACTTATTAAAGACACTTAGCACCTAGCTTCATCCCACTAGCATCTTAACTAACCTGCTAGATGTTGCTCAACGCCGCAGCGTCGACACGTTATCAAATCATCCAGAACCTGAGCTCCGAGAGATGAGAGGTGTCAAATAAGTCAGTGTGTGATTGGTTCAATAACACTGAGCACACACACACACACACACACAGACACACACACACACAGACACATACAGACTGTTATCAGTCCCTCAGAGAGTGGGTTACATCACAGCTCTGCCAGCTCCAGCCCACGTCAGCTGCAGAATTAGATGATACAATCTTTAATAGATTTTTGACAAGGTTGTATCTCACTGGTACTTTATGGTGTGTGTGTGTGTGTGCGTGTGTGTTGGCTTTTGTTTCTCCTCTAACTGATGGTTGTAACAAAACGATGGTCGATTCTTACCAAGACAGATTTGGGATTCCTCTCCGTCCTCCTCCAACCACGGCTGACTGTAGTGACTACAGAATTTCCTGAAGTCAAAAATTCCATAATCTCACCCGAGAGATTAATAAAGTTCTATCCATCTATGTATCTATAGCGCCCCCCCCCCCCCCCCCCCCCCCCCCCCCCCCCACACCCCCCCCCCCCCCACCACCCACCACCTTCTT